CTCTCTCTACATCATCACTAAAATTCAACCACACGCAATCACAAATCCTATGTTTAAAATGGAACAATTCTACGAGTTCCAACATTCGCACATGGTGAACAACCCGCAATATATATATTATATATATATTTTTATTTATTTTATTATTTGAATCATTCTTTTTATCCCCTACATTTGAAATTTTGCTAAACACACCAGCCATATAAAACTTTATTTATAGCAAATCACCCCCCCCCACCCAAGCCACTATTGGCAACCAGCCACCACCACCGGCAATCGAGAATGGGCAAGACTATCGTATATGCAGCTCGTGCTCGACAAAGCTGAAATGGCCATAGATCACAAATCCATGGTCGAAAAATGCCAGATCTTGGCCATTTCACAGCCAAGATCTGCTTTTCACAGCCAAATCTTGGCCTTTTCACAGCCCCTCTTGGCTGGAAAGGTTCGAAATGCCATGTCTGATCATTTCCGCCATGGATCTATGATCCCTGCTGAAAAAGCCTTATCAGCGCACATCGACCAATCCTGTTGTTTGCACCATTACATGACTGACACCCACAGTTGGCGGTGGTGATTCACAGCCGTCGGTGGTCTTGGGTGTGGGGGTATTTTGTAACTTTTAACTTTTTGTAGCTAGGGTGTTTTAACTAATTTCTCAAATGTAGGGAGCTGGTATTGTTATTTGGTAGACATTTAAGGACAATTGTATCCAAATGGTTTTTATTAGGACAACTGATTAGAAAAATCATATTACCTCGGTAATGTTTTAATACACCTCTAATACGGTAATATTACCCCACATTACCAACGTAACTATTTGTAATAAAATTACCAGTAATATTTTATACTTGCAAACCAAACACAAAATTTTGTAAATACAAAGACTACGTCTGTTATCTTATTCCCCAATCCAAACAACCTTATATTAAAGAAGGGTTTAGAAACATAGATATGAAAGGCATATTTATTTTTTAGTTCTCATCACTTGAGTGAAATTTCTAAATGAGAATACTAGTTTACAAAGAAATATAAAGAAGGTATCAGACAAAGCTGCCCTTAAAGAAGGGAAAAAGAAGAAAGAGAGAAGAATAAAAAAGAGAGAGCTGAGGTGACAGGATTTGTCTTTGTATACCCCTCTTTGTAAGCTAACTTTTCATTCTAAATATTGATGCATCTGAACTCCGGCAGCTGTAGGAAATATCTCATAATTTAATTGAAAAAATAAATAATCAGTTGGCTTTGGTGCTTCTGTTGACACCAAGACATAGGCACTTCCTTTACGGTTACTTACGGCCAATTGTGGAAGCTAATGCTTTGAATTCACACATAACTTGGATATTTGCAGGCCCCAAGCCTGCAAATAAATTACGAAGAAAAAGGTATTATTGCATTATAAATAAATAAATTACCACAGTGGTCAGTCCATTGATCTTTTCAGCCAAAAATGTCTGCAAAGAGTTTTAAACACTGAAGATGCGCGTCACTGTAACATATTTTCTATATTATAGAAATCAATTATCTTTTTCGGCCATTGTTACACCGGTGGCCGATTCGGCCAGGTGCTTATTACTAACGCAAATCATGACAAAACCCATCTGTTTGATAGATTAGATACAATATAGCCAGCACTCCTATTTAAATGAAAGTAAAAAACAGTCACAGAAATGGGTTTCTTTCTTAAATGAGTTTTTAGAAATCCCTGAACATTCTATTTCCAATGCATTCTTCCCATCAAACCAAAACGCGTACAGCTTTGATTAATAATAGCTCTGAACCAATAAAAATGGCTAAAATTTTTAATTTCCTCGAAACAGAAAAAGAATTAATAGTCCACTAAACCAAAGACTTTGGTTTGGTTGGAGTGGACAATGGTTTAAGCCTTGATAAATTGTGATATCAACCACCAAACGTGTTCTTATTTACATATATGCTTTCTGATAAAGCCCGCTCAAGCCAGAAACCGTGGCCTCTACTTCCACATTAAAGACATTTTATTCTCTCCCCTCTAATTGGGATCATTTTTGACGGGTTGGAAAATGTTTTTGGCTTTTGGCTTTTGTACGGAAGTGCTCTCTCCGCCTCGACGGTTGCCGTTTAACAATTCAAGACGGCTTTCTTTTTAATTTCAAATTTCAAATAAATTCCCCTTCTCCTCATCGTAATCACTCACATCACAACAAAGAAATTTGTCAAACTATTATTCGTAAGCACCTTTTAATAAGGAATCATCCGTGATACCACGCGCTCAATGGCGCGTTTCCAGACCGATCGTCACCGCAAATCTAGTAACTCTGAACACCACCAATGAAACTCTCAACGTGGAAAGATTGACTGGTCAACTCTGAGTCCCATCATACACGTACATAATAGCGAGGATACAAAGAATCAATGCCCTTCTGATTACATAAAACTTTTTGAAGAGAATCAACCGAATCTCGCTGTGCCAGAAAGCTAGCTCTCAGCCCCTTAAATCTACAAATCTTCTTTTATTTATTAAAAAACAAAATAAATAAAAAGGATAATTGTGAAAAGTCTAAACAGAGAGATAGACACAACACGTAGTGAATTTGGTCCGTGCAAGAAACGAAGGACACAGAGAAGAACACGATGCTATATTATCTCCTCGAATTCTCTCTATTTTGGCTGCTGAATTTCGCCGATAAATTGATTCTTATTCTTTCTTTTCTTCTCGTTTCTTTGCAATGTCGGTCGAACGAGTCGCGTCTTGCTTCACTCTCGAGGGAATCAGCGATGTCGATGACTACATTTGGGTGAGTTCCCTATTTTATTTTTTCGGTTTTCCAAGTGTTTGGACGCTGAGAAAGTGCGGGAAAGTTTAAGATGATCAACTTCTGGAATGGTAGGATGTTTAGTTTGGGTTGAAAGGTGATTCGTTAGTTATTTTAAGAAGTTGTAGTGAATAATGTGAAGTCTTGAGTCTTGGATTTTGCATTGTATTGGTTTTACTTTATTTTGTAATTGTTCCTTTGAATTTATTGCGTGGAGAGGAAGATATTGAGTCTTATTTTCTTTTCTTGTGTTTTCTTAGAAGCCAACAGTCTTTACACGTTTTTTGCCTTCAATTTTTTTGGTTTTTGTTAGCTTAGAGAACTTGTGAAAAGACAAGGATTTGAGTTTGGTTGCTTTCATTTGTTTTCTGTTTTTTTCTTTTTTGTTTGCGGGAAATCCGGGAGATCAAAAATAATCTGAACTTTGATTTTTGCTTTTTCTTGTTTAAATTTCCTTTTCTATTTTTCTACTTTCTTTTCGCTAATTTTATTGATGAAGCTATAATTTACGTAGTTCATGCTGATTATCTGCAAAAAAATTTGATTGATACTGTTTGCCATTCTGTTACAATGATTTTGAAAATATGGATGGTTTAGAAGCTTCACTGGCAACTTCTGCAGCTAAAGAAATTTACAACATGTTTTTATTGAATTGCCATTTTTTAATAACTGGATTATGGTAGCCAAGTGAATTTCCTTGTTTTTGTCACTTCAAATGAAGAATGTGAACAATGAAAAACTTTTTTTTTTTTTTTTTGTTATTTACTGCTTTCCCAAGAGCTGAATGGATGCCGAGTGCCTTACTTGTATGATTAATAGTGCTTAGTATTATTAATTTATACTGTCTGGAAATATGACGGTAAATGTCAATAAAAAATGCAGGCAAATGAAGGGAGGGATCGTTGCCATGGGACAGATCCAGTCAGTTTTTGATTTGGTAAGAAATGGAAACGTGTCATTCCGAGAGAGTTTTTTGAACAGGTGAGGTTTTGACTTCTAATGCAGTCTATACAGTCTTTTATTCCTGTTCTGGCCTTCCTCTCAGTATCATATAGATGCTTCTGTTATTGTGGTAATTTGTACAGAAAACTCAAAAAGATATGAGAAGCAGGTCACAGAGTCTAGTACCTCGCAATGCAAGATTAGATTAGTTCTGTCCAAATATGTCAAGAATTTTTGATGTGGTTGGTAGTAGACTTATTTTGTGGTGTCTTTTTCCCTTTTCAATTTAGGTTTGCTTTTATTTCTATAGTATCTTTAAATAATTAATTGTAGTCAATTATATATCTATTCTTATTATTATTTATTTTTGTTTATTTTTTAGTTGCAGTCAAAATGGCTTGGATGAGCTAGATGAGCTGTATAATGTTCATTATTGACTTTGGGGTATCTCATTATTTTTGTAGAGCTAATGTTTTTAACTTTTACCTGTAAGAATCATTTTTGGAATAATGGTTAAGTTGATCAAGAAATCTCATGTACGAATCCTTCATTACATTATTTAAATAGTGTCTGTGTTTGATTCATGTGCCATGTATGTGAGAGATGTTTAGATCTTAATACAATTGTTGGGTCCTACCTATAGTTTCAGCTTTTGAGATTAGGGTCACTTAACAATTTCTGCTGCCAAGGAGTAATAGTATGTTTTAAATTAAGTGCCTTTCCATCACATGTGAAATGGAAATCATCAACTCCTCTTTGTATAAATTCCCATAGTGATCTGATCTTTGGTTATACACCACCCTGACTTGAGTTGCCCTTCGCCTTCACTGCTATGCTCTGACCTGAGTTTCCTTCTCAATGGCTTTCTCATTTTGTAACCAGCCTTGAAGTGAATTTGCTCTAATCATATGATGTGCACTAATTAGTAGGCTGTTATAAATTAGTCATGTTAAACTCCCAGTATTCTTCTAGTTGTGTGGAAGTTTTAATATTACTGAGTATGGGTACTATTACTAATTATTTAAGTGCTTTTACACTGTCCTAGTTTAGATCAAGAGATGAACCACATGGAAGTGCATTTGAGATCTACTTTTTCTTCTTGGTTCATCTCTGAAACTACAGTTTTTGTGGTCTTAGGATTAGTAGTACTTCAATTACAGTTCAACTTTAGAGCTTTTTGTTGGCACACTGTTTCACACTAATAGATATCTATACCCATGTGATGTTTTCTTAGAAATTGAAGTGTTAACGTATATGTGGCTTTAGGGTCATAAGTCTGTCCGTAAGGCTTTAGAACAACTTGATGTGTTGGACCTATCTGTTTGGTATTTACGAGATTTAGAGTTTCGATTGGATTTTTCTTCTCCTTTTTAGCCTTTTCATTTCGTAATATCCAAGTTTTTAGTAACTTATGTGTTTGGGTGGTCAGGGAGATGTCAATCTGAGAATCTAAAGGTTAGGAAGAGAAGCAGCAACAATTGTTGTTATGTTTACTCTTTAAGAGGTAATGCCACATAAATGTGCTTTGATGATCAACAGAGTTACTGAATATTGAATATCCTCATGCTAATTTTTTGGATACAGTCATCAAGATCTAGACAAATTTTTTCTTTCTCCTAAATGTGTTTTTCTCACTGTTCATTTTTTAACCTTAGTTAGCATATTTAGGCTTCATTCTTTTTGCTGTAGGAATAATTCAGTTCAATCTTTATGTGGAATTATGAGCTATTTGGTTACTAGAATGAATATCAGAATTTAGCACGGTGACTTTGACATGAATGGCTAGATGCATTTAGACTAATTTTGTTAGTATCACTTGTAGATATCAAGCTAAAGTCTTTCTTTTTGAATAAATTTGTCATGGTATCAATTTCGTTTTTTCCTTTCCTTACACAAGTTACGATTTTCATTAAATTAAGCTACAGCTGAAAGTTTTCAAATTCTGAGCTACTTTTTTTCACAAACATGCTTTAGTTGTTCTAACCCATTCATTAAAATTCAATGCATAGTCTTGGTAGTCCTGTCTTTCTGGAGTAGGTTTTCATTGTGCCAACTTGGTGGCATGGCTTTAGTGCAGGGCTTGTAGTCTTATGTTATCAATTTTTACCATTAACACTTTCTATATGCTTAGACTTATGATTGATGCAGTCTTGTTTGTTCCTGTAGCTGTTAGATTTGGGATGTAAATGGTGTGTATGATTTATTATATTTTATCTTTGGCAATGCTTATAAGAAGGATATGGTACTTTTCAATTTTTTGAGTTTTCTGATCAAGTTCTTTCTGGTGATATTGTGATGAAACAGAGAGATGAGCGTGTATGGAATGAGAGGTAAGGGAGCTGGCAGAGGATAAAAGGGAGTTGGCAGGAAATTCAATTGTATACACATGTTGAGGAATGTGTTGGGCAGGACAGATGGCATTTCTTGGTTGGTCAGAGGGAAATTTGGCTTGGAAAGAGAATGAGCTGGGAAGAAAAGAAGGGACTGTTATAAGGATTAGAAAATGGGGAGGAGCTGGCCCTCAAAGTCCAGCACTATCTGGGTTTCTTTTTGTTTTAGTCTGGTTTTTCAATGATTGTGTAGTGGGTAGTTTTGCTAGTTCATTTGTGTAGTTTGCTTGCTGGAATATCAATGCAAGTGACTGTTATTTTCTGGGTTTTGGCTACTGTTTGCTGATATTTTGCTGGTTTATCTTCTTGTGTGTTTTGCTGTTCTTATGTGGTTGTTTGAGTTGGTAAGAATCTAACATTTGTTTTTCTTTTTTTCCTTCTACAACTGAAAGAATGGTTGCATGTTATGTGACTTCTTAATCTTTTTAGTTTAACTTGACTGTAAAGCACTTCAACTAGCAATTTGGTAATGGCTTTTATGAGTTTTTTTGTTCAGGCAATCATAATTACTCAAGAGCCAATAACATCACCCCATGATCCTATTATTCGGGGAAACAGATGTTCTACTTATATATGTTTCTTCTTTTTCCCATTGGTTATTGTTGTTTTTCTTGATTTCTACGATGCCATTTCTTGTTAGTTTTTATGATCACTTAACCATCTATAGATTGTTTTGGATCTAATTTTCCATTATTCTGATGAACTGGATCATGAATATGTCATCTTTATCCAGGATTAGTCAATTCTTGAAGCACAGACCTCCATCAGCTTCGAGTCTAGACCATTGAATGGACTGGATCCACGACACACGCTGAGGTAGGTCTTCTTGCTTCATTTATATAATAAAAAGCAGGTTTTATTTATTTATTTCTGTAAAGAAAAATGTTTGTGCAATTATTTCAGCTTGCTTTAAAGGATGCTGAGAAGCTACTGAACCTCCGAGTAATTTAGTAAAATCATACTACTAAAGGCCAATGCCCTCATTTAGTAAAATAAGTTGCCATTTGTTTTCTTTCATATATAACTGGAGCTCAGCTAAAGATTCTTGGGAACCTCTCTTTCTGTGGCTTTGTCACTTGTGTACTGTATTTGCATTTGTGCCCGTAGTTTCACGTCTTGTGTCAGGTTTGTGTGAAGAATCTAAGCCCAAATTTAGCCAGTTCAGCTAAAATACATGCTACATCACCAAGTTCGAGTTATGAGTTAGGTTTACTTGGAGGATGATATTGGTAGGGAAAATCTGCCCAAAAAGGCTTTCAGGAAAACTAAAGTTGAAAATAATCAATTTAATGGTGAAATGATAAAAGATTTTAGAAAAGAGGTGATGTTTGCAAGAGGATGTTGTACATGGTAAGGAAGAGGGATCAGAGGCAATGAGTGACAAGATGTAAGATCAATTGGATTTAAGATTAGCTATTTCACATTTAGGGCATGATAGTATATGATAGATTTTTAACCTACTACTAAATATCAAACATCTGTTATATGCTAGGTTAGCATACTTAAAATAAAGACATATAATTAAATAAAGCATATAATTAAAGTATTATAAAACATGGTTGGATTCTGGTTGCTTCAAACTCTGGTGTACCAGATTCTGTCAGGCTGGAACTCTCTTTCCAAGCAAACCAAGCTTGAATACTACCAAACCATACTTTTTTTGTTGACTATGACAAACAAAATAGATAATAAAACATTAATCTTTTGCATCATTGTTAAATTAGTATATCTTCTTCATGTACTGAGAATGCACCTAATCAGATGTGTCTTCTCCCTGTTTTTAACAGCATACCTACTACTGTAAGTGGCAATGTTGCCCAATATGGCACAGAGATTTGCCAGAAAGAACCATCTGGGACCGTACAAAAGCTTGTGTTTGTGAAATTTGATGCTGCAGAACTTGATACATTGTTCAAACCAGGTACCTTTGTGGATACATTCTTCTCCTTAGATCCATATGACTATCAGCAGAGTGCAGGCATCCGATTAGTGGCGAAAAAGTTGATTATTCATTCTGAGTGATGGAAGAAAATGGTTCTTGAAGATCACCGTCTAACCTTTCAACTAGGTAGACTGACATGTATATGGAAAATTGCTTTTCACTGATAGGTTGATTATATTGCTGATTGTATTGAACTTCAACATTCATCTGTACATGTAATTTATACCAAAACCAGAATAAGTTGAAATAAGTCAAAACCAAAGGCGTCAGCACTTAGCACTGCTTCTATTAATCTAAACAATCTCTGCACTTTCTTTATGTTATGGTAATTTTTGAAAGCTAATGCTTTGAATCCACACTTAACTTGGATATTCGCAGGGCTCCAAGCCTGCAAATAAATTACAGAAGAAAAGGGTATTCACATCCATTGCATTATAAATAAATAAATTACACAGCTTTGTCAACTAGTCAGTTCATTGATTCTTTTCAGCCAAAAAGAGTTTAAAGATGCGGCGGTCACTGTAACATATTTTCTCAGATAGTGGCAGAGCAATGCATTCATCTTTGTGTTTGAAGATTTTTCTAGGTGTATTGGAAATTTTTTGGTGGTAGTGTGGAAGACAAAAACAAAATCTCATTCTTTATCATCGGGTGGAGTTGCCATAAGGGGGTTTGGATACACGACAGGGTAGAGTTGCAGGTGATGAAGTTGGTAGGATTTTGTTTTGGTTTTGTGGGTGAATCTGAGGCCTGTTGCAACCAGTGGCAGAGCCAGAAATTCAGGGGCGACAAAATTCAAAAGTGCTGTAATTTAAATAAAAATTTTAACATAATAATAAATATTAAAATTTTAACAATTTTATTCAATACAATAACAATTATCCTCAACGAAATTTGATATTCTAAAATTGATTATTGTCAGTATTGTTAAACACAAGGATTTAGGATTGGCAATTCCTGAGATAAGGCCGACCCTATACTTGCTAAGATATTGCTCTCTCCATCCTCTACCCGAAAGCAAAGATAGGGCGGGTATCATCAGCAACGGAATGAAATACTCGTCCCCCTACCCGAAAATCCTTCGATTTCTTTCTTTTTATTTATTTATTTATTGACATATTAGTTATAAATATATTATATATTTTTAGCTGGACAGGGACGGATGGAATCAAGTTTTGCAGGTTTTCCAACTTGTTTTGCCAGGCTTATAATGTGTGCTTTATATTATTCTGAACTAAGGTTCTTGTTTTTGTTAGTCATTAGACTATACTTTTCATGAAGGGAAGGGGTTCATGGTTGGGACAGAAAGTGAGATAGAAGAATGTTATAACTTTTTATTGTTTGGTTTGCCTCGACGATGTTAAAAATGTGTTGGTTTGATCGTTATATCCTTATGGAGGTGTTTGGATCATATAATATTCTATTATATTAGTCTATTATATTAACGGAAAGAAAGATCACCTTAAAGATTAGTGGGAATGTTTAGAAAATGTGTATGGCTAGTTTGAATAAATTGATGAATAATATGCTTGATTGGGAAGATAAATAAGTGGGTATGTTATATAGATTATTAAACTATCCTTCTTTTTAAATATTAATATAACTAAACATAGGGTTCGTGCATTATTAATCTTAATTATAGGTAGATGTCATTAAATCATTCATCCAACTTGAGAAGATCACCTGAATATTATATGGTCTAATTATATTTTCAAGATCATCACCTTGTACAATTGATATTATTTTTGCAGACATGTCTTTAATATTCGATATCAGTATTTTGTAGTGAATCATGTATGATATTTAAGATCACATGAATATTATTAAGATCAACTATTTAAACTTAAAACTTATATTGACCTTTCGTAATTTCTGTAACTTATATTTATTTTCAAGTGACGTTGCGCAAATATGTTTATTAAATTTTTTTTTTTTTACATTATTATTGGTTTTTTTGTCTTTTAAATATATATTTTCTATATTGAAGTTCATTTTATATTGAATTGATCATTAAAAAATCAATAAATAAAATATCCATAAATTGAACTTAAAATCTATATCATCATAGTTCTTCTCAAATATGTCACCATTTGAAATTTACAACCAAAGTTTAAAATTTTGTTAAGAAAAGCAAAAATATTTGCAGGATAACCCACTGGGTATTATTGATAAGTAGACTTGACAAAACGGGCGGGTGGGCCGGGTACAGTCCGGGTCTAAGCAGGTACGGGTCTTAAATAGGTCGATCTAAACGGGTCCAATACTTTAGGCCTGTACCCTACCCTATACGGGTACGGGTGGACTCGCAGGTGCCCGCTTCTCTAGTGAAGTTCCTCTTGACCCTTCTTCTCAAAGTACTCAAGGTGATTTTAGGACCCTTCCAACGAATCTCAACCGCTAATCTTTGTTCTTTGTTCTTCCTTCTTCTATGCAATCTCATGCGCCAGATCCCACCCTTCCATCCTCTATACCACCAATTTCACCTTGTACTTCTTTATCACAACTCACAAGAGGGGGCCATGGCTGCCACCTCATCATCTTTATCACCATTCTTCAAACCAAACCCAAACCCAAAAGCAAATACCCAAAAAAGAACAACCTCAAAATCTTCAAATCCTTAAAAAACAAAAAGAAAAGAAAACTTGTTTCCAAAATTACACAATGTTTTTCATTCTTCCCATAACTCAACCACACAAAACAAACCCAAAAAAGAAAAATTCTTAAAAGCTGCGAAATCTTAAGAAACATGAAGAGAAAACAATTTGAAGAAATGGAAATGGGCTGCTCTACAACCTGTCTTGATGAACCAAAAGTGAGAAGGACTGGGTGAATTCAAGTTCTTTTTACGCCATCAATTGGATCTATTATACTAGTAGCCCCTTAGTCGCAAAGAAGAAGAGTGGGTTTTTGAAAAACTCTTTGGGAAGAAAAATTAATGGGTTAGGGAATGGGAATGAATGGAGATTGTGAATGATTTTGATAGGAAAGAGGCAGACTACGAAATGAAAAAGAGAAGAGAAGTTAAGTTTGGAGAGAGAGAGAGAGAGAAGGCAAACAAAAGGTGTTTTAGTAGTCTGCTCACACACTACGAAAGAGAAAGACAAAAGAATGCCAGGGTTTTTTTCTTTAAATTAAAAACGGGTACCCACGGGCACCTGCGGGTTTACCCGGTCTACCCGTTTACAAAATGGGTAGGGCCAGGTATGGGTCTTAAAAAACGGGTTTAATAATATAGACCCGTACCCTATATAATTTACTCACGTATGGGGTCGACCCGCAGGTCTTAATCCATTTTTCCAGGTCTATTGATAAGTCTATAAATCAATCAGAGAAAGAGAAACCTTATTGAAAAATGTGAACTTTTAAGCGAGACACTTGTAGAGTGGAAAAAACTGATTTTGATTGTTGAGAAGAGAAAATGAATTATTTTTATTATTGTTATTTTAGAAATTAAAAAAAAAATTAAGAATGTTGAGAAGAGAACTCACATAGAAAACAACAACTCCAACAGTATAATCTGAAGGCAACTCAATTGAAACATTGAAGAAGCCATGAAGATAAAGGTCCTGTGACACAAATTTATTTGCTGCAATTAGAATTGACCACCACCTATAGCAAAAAGGTATTTGATGATGGCATCCTAAAGAAAGACGATAATTGTAAAACCCACAAATCAAACAACAAAATCAATCCAAAAATCAACAAAAAGAAATAGAATAAATACAATTAAAACTACATATCAATATTTGTTTTCCTTTGTCATCACTAAAATTGAATTTGCTTTATGTGTGTGATTGCAGGTCTATAATTATCCAAATTCACCGTATAATATATCAAATTAAAGCCCTATCTCTCTAGTTTCCAAATATTTAAACCGCTTATCAATTGGATTTTTATTGAGCAAGTTAAGGCTAATTTACTACTGACTGTTCAGTAGAAATCAAGAAACAGTAGAAACTGAAATGTTGTGATAATAAAAGGAATGGATCGATAGTAGGGTTACAGTTATCCAAATTAAATGTATAATATATCAAATTAAAGCCCTATCTGTCTAGTTTCTAAATATTCAAACCTCTCATAAATTGGATTTTTATTGAGCAAGTTATGGTTAATTTACTTCTGACTGTTCAGTGGAAACTGAAATGTGTATGATAATAAAATAAATGGTTTGAAAGTGAGGCTACTAATTAATCTATAATATATCAAATTAAAGCCCTATCTGTCTAGTTTCTAAAGATTCAAACCTCTCATCAATTGGATTTTTATTGAGAAAGTTATAGTTAATTTACTACTGACTGTTCAGTGGAAACCAAAATGTGTGTGATGATAAAAAGAATTGTTTGACAGTAGGGCGACAGTTATCCAAATTAAGCGTATAGTATATCAAATTAAAGCTCTATCTGTCTAGTTTCTAAAGATTCTAACCTCTCATCAATTGGAGTTTTATTGAGCAAGTTATGGTCAATTTACTACTGATTGTTCAGTGAAAACCTAAATATATGTGATGATAAAATGAATGGTTTACTAAAGCTATATGGTTCAACATCAAACATCAGTTGATATTTTTTAAATAAATGAAATTAGTTATATTAAGCAACAACCTCTTTTCATGATATGTGTATATAATATAAAAAGATATCAACAAAAAGAGATAGAACAATTACAATTAAAACTACATATCAATATTTGTTTTCCTTTAAGAATAATAATAATGGTTCGGTATATTATAAATGGTTTACTAAAGCTACATGGTTCGGCAACAAACATTAGATGATATTTGTGATACAAATAAAATTTTTATATTTAGCAACAATTTGTTTTCAATATATGTATGTAACATAAAAAAATATCAACAAAAAGAGATAGAACAAATACAATTAAATCTGTATATCAATATTTGTTTTCCTTTGTCATCACTAAAATTGAATTGGTTTTATGTGTATGATGATACAATGAATGGTTCAGCCACAAGGCTATAGCTATTCAAATTCATTGTATAATATATCAAATTAAAGCTTTATCTTTCTAGTTTCCAAAGATTCAAACCGCTCATCAATTGGGATTTTATTGAGTAAGTTAT